CGAAAAATCTCAATAATTTAAAAATAATTTAGAAGTCCCAGCCAGGACAACTGGGCAGGAGAAAAAAAATAAAAGGCATCCATATTGGAAAAGAGGAAGTCAAATTATCCTGGTTTGCTTATGATATGATCTTTTTTTTTGAATTGGAGTCTCACTCCGTTTCCCAGGCTGGAGGGCAGTGGCATGCTCATGGCCACCGCAGCCTTGACCTACTGGGATCAGGGTATCCTTCCGCCTCAGTATTCTAAGTTGCTGGAACCACCGGCACACACCACCACATCTGGCTAATTTTTTAATTTATTGTAGAGATGAGGTCTCGCCAAGTTACCCAGGCTGGTCTCGAACACCTGGGCTCAGGCAATCCTCTCACCTCCACTTCCCAAAGTGCTGGGATTACAGGCATGAACCCGGCTTGATATGATCTTATATCTAGAAAATCCTAAAGACGCCACCAAAAAACTCTTACATTTGATAAGTGAATTAAATAGTTTCAGGATACAAAATTAACGTACAGAAACCAGACGCGTTTCTAAATACCAACAGTGATCCAGTCAAGAACAAATCAAGAAGGTAATCACGTGTGCAACAGCTCCAAAAATAAATACCTAGGAATATACCTAACCAAGGAGGTAAAGGATCTCTACAAGGAAAACTACAAAACACTGATGAAAGAAACGGTAGATGACACAACCAAATAGAAAAACACCCCATGTTCATGGATGCAAAAAATTAGTATAATTAAAATGACCACACTTCTTAAGCAGTCTATAGGTTCAATGCAATCCCTAACAAAATACCAACATTATTTTTCACAGAATTTAGGAAAAAACAATTCTAAAGTTCATATGAACCCCCCCCCAAAAAAACCCAATCAACCAACAGAGTGAACAGATAAGCTGCAGAATGGGAGAAAATATTTGAAAACTATACATCCCACAGGGGACTAATATCCAGAATTTACAAAGAACGCAAACAATTCAACAAAACATTCCCAAATCATTCCATTAAAAAGTAAGCTAAGGGCTGGGCTCGTTGGCTCAGCCTGTAATCCCAGCACTTTGGGAGGCAGAGGCAAGTAGATTGCCTGAGCCCATGGATTCGAGACCAGCCTGGGCAACTTGGCGAGATCTCTACAATAAATAAAAAATTAGCTGGGTGTGGTAGCGCCTGTAGTTCCCGTTACTTGGAAGGCTGAGGTGGAAGGATTGCTGGAGCCCAGCTGGTCGATGCTGGGGTGGCCGTGAGTGTGCCACTGCACTCCAGCCTAGGTGACAGAAACTCCAACTCAAAAAATAAATAAATAAATAAAAAGTCAAAAAATAACAGATGCTGGTGAGGATGTGGAGAAAAGGAAACTCTTATATATTGTTGGTGGGAACATAAATTAGTATAACAACTATGGAAAACAGAATGGAGATTTTTTTTTCAAAGAACAAAAAATACAACTACCATAAGACCCAGCAATTCAGCCGGGCGCAGAGACTCAAGCCTATAATCCCAGCATTTTGGGAGGCTGAGGCGAGAGGATTGCCTGAGCCCGCGGGTTCAAGATCAGCCTGAGCAACATGGTGAGACCTTGTCTCTACAATAAATCAAAAAATTAGCTGGGCGTGGTAGCGTGCCCCTGTAGTTCCAGCAACTTGGAAGGCTGAGGTGGGAGGATCGCCTGAGCCCAGCAGGTCGAGGCTGCGGTGGCCAGGAGCGTGGCAACACACTCCAGCCCGGGCGACGGGGTGAGATTCCAACTCAAAAAAAAAAAAAAAAGACCCAGCAATCCTACTACTGGGAACGGCCCAAAATAAAAGTAATGATTATATAAAAAAGGTACCTGCATTTAAATTTTATCATAGCACTAATCACAGCAGCAAAAATACAAAATCAACCTCAGTGTCCATCAATGGAGGACTGGGTTTTAAAAATGTGGCGTGATAGCCAGGCTCAGTGGCTCAGCCTGTAATCCCGCGCCTTTGGGAGGCTGAGGTGAGTGGATTGCCTGAGCCCGCGGGTTAGACCCGCCTGGGCAACGTGGCGAGCCCTCATCTCCACAATAAATCAAAAAATTAGCCGGGTGTGGTAGCGTGTGCCTGTAGTTCCAGCTACTTGGAAGGCTAAGGCAGAAGGATCGCTGGAG